TGCGCGCGCGCACCTAAAATCTCTTCTGATCCAGCAATTCTTCGCAGCAGCCTGGCATTAAAATCGCCGAGCAACAGCGTTGGCCCGCGGGGCCAGCAGCGCGCACACACACATATATATATATACATGTTCCAATTATGTGTAGAAGCCGCGCCTGACGTCATAGTCGCGCGTGTTTGTCCAAGCGCATGCTGTTAAAGTAAGCGCGCCTCCTGTCGCCCGTGCCCGTTGGCTCGCCGCGCGAACGTTGCGCTGCAAATGACCTTCGATTGATCGCCGTGCCCGGGGTGCCGCGATAAAGCCAACGCCCCCGCGCTCTCTTTGATCGCCCTCTGAACCGGATCGAATAAACAATTGGCCTTCGGATTCGTAGACTTCGGACCCACGGCAGCGCTTCTCTCGAAGACAAATAACTGCGATGTCAGACCCCCGCATATGTTTGATGAGATCGAAGAGTTCGCGCGGACTGCCGTCAGCAATGCCTTCGACATTCCAAGTGGTAACCCTGTCACGCCCCATAGGCCAGCATGGGTAAGTTGCTCATTCGCCTACCCGAGCTCTCCCTGATAAGCCGATGCACCGTCCTGGCCCCTAGCGGCTAGCAGTTCCACCTTTCTTCCCTTTCCCATTCCCTTTGGCCACTCGGCCGAGCATGTTGTTGGCGCGCGTGGTAAGGTGTGCCGCTTCAGGACTCTTCGCGAGTTCCTCCCATTGTTTCCACGCTACTTCCCAAGACATGCGAGGGGCAGTGCTGGCAATGCTCACTGTGGCCGCTGGGTCTGTGGCCGACCTCGTCGTGAATGTGTCGGTGCCAACACGAACCTCTCCTTTTGAGTACCCCCATGCCAGAAACTGCTTTCGTAAACCGAACAAAAAGCTTTCTGGAACCTGCTTCTCAATAGGTTGGTCGGCCCGGGCCCATACTGCATTCCCATTGTGGTTGATCTGCGCCTTCCCGACGGTGCTGACGTATTTGTCCCGGGCCTCTTTGTTGCTGAACTTCATGAACGCGATGCTCCATGTTACAAAATTACTGAGGCCTTCAACGACACCGTTGCATTCGCGGTGCTGGATCGAGGTGAGTGCCGCCATCTGGCGTTCGAGCTCGTTGGTTTTCGCCCCCATGGTGCTGTCCATGTTGCGGGCGGAGCCGGTGCCAGTAGAAGCTGGGTATGTCGGTTGGGTCACAAGCGCTGTTACCCTCTGGGAAATGTAGTCGATGGCTGTGCGTAGTGGCTGCACTGCATTTCGAAGGTCTTGCTGGGAAACTCCGTGTTGTTTTATTGCCCGGATGTTGGTTTGAAGACGTTGTAGCTGCTCACGAAGCATCTGCTTAAATTGTCAAGCTGTGAGCCCTTCCGCATCGGCAGCTGCATGTATTCCTGTTGATGTTGCTGGTGTGGCCGATCCAGATCCTCCTTTGTCTCTTTGTCCGAATTCTTCCTGGTGGGGTCCGGCCGCGGCCGCCAAGGTGTCCTGGAATTGACTTTGGGGCACAGATGCGGCCCCCGGGGGGTCCTCGTCGGAGATCCCGTCCATCTCATGGAGTCGGCTGTGGATCCTGTGTTGCTTCGCATTCCCCGCGAGGGGCTGCAGGGCGTCCTTGACGGGTGTGCCGGCCCTGCGAGTGCGCTTTGGACGTAGGCGGGGACGACATATCTCAAGGAGATCAAGCAAGCAAACGTATAGATCAAAACGTATGGGATGGAAGATCATCGGAGATGGGAATGTAGAGTCTGCGGGAATATGCGGCGCCCGGACCCAGTCCCCCGATATATGTATAAACCCGCGCGTGGCACGACTCACGGGTCCGCAGCAAAAAAAAAAAAACGATGACTGCGGCCCCAGGTTCGAAGAGGAAATGGAGGTGGGAACGAAGGGCAAGAGAAGAACGGATGAGGGGCCGCAACAACGATCGCGACCGCAGCGGCAAGACGGTGAAGGAGCCAGAAGACGACAACAGAACGGGCAGGAGGAGCAAGGAGGGTCGCGAGTATTGTTTTCTTTTTCTGCTTCTTCTTTTTGGCTTGGTGTCCCCATTTTTCTCGTGGCGATTCCTCTCTGGTGGCACGCTGGGAAAGCAGCGCGGCCCGCGCCATGTCGTCCTGGCGCTCCGAAGGATAAACCATACATGTCTAGTGCGAAAAGCGAAGGAGGCGGAGCTCGCCCGCGAGCTCCTCCGCTTCCTGACTACACCTCCTCGGCAAGGGAGAGCAGGCGCGCCGCCAGGTGGGAACGGCCAGCGGGAGGGGAAAGCCAGGCGAATCTGCATCTGCGTAGGACGCCACTATTCTGGACCCCCCAAGACTCGTCGCAAGCAGCGACAATTTCTCAGCTCGCAGACCCCAAGAATGGTGAGGTCTGATCCGAATCGGCGTAGGATGCCACTGCGCCGGACCGCACAGCGGCCCTCGAAAGTGGCAATGGTGTCGCAATTCGCACCCCCTGGGGATGACGGGGTCCAATCTGAATTTGCGCAGGACGTCACTATGCTGGACCGACCCCCCCAGCAGCTCTCGAAAGTGTCGAGAATTACGCAGTTCCCCCCGCAGGGATGGTGAGGTCGAATCATAATCTGCGTAGCACGTCACTCTGCTGGGACCCCCGGCAGCCCTCGAAAGTGGCGGCATGTTCGCAATTCGCAGCCCACCAGGGACGGTGAGGTCTGATCCGAGGCTGACCGCCCAGCAGCCCTCGAAAGTGGCGACAATGTCGCAGATCGCAGCCCACCAGGGATGGCGAAATCAAATCCGAATCTGCGTGAGGCGTCATTCCGCTGGATCCTCCAGCAGTCTTCGAAAGTGGCGACAGTATCACAGTTCGCAGCCCACCAGGGATGGCGAGTTCGCAGCCCCCCAGGGATGGCGAGGTCAAATCTGAGTCTGCGTACGTGCGTACGTAAGCTTCACTGCGCTGGACCCTCCATCAGTCCTCGAAGGTGGCGACGAAAGCTGTCCAGACTGGACCTCGCGGTGTGTAAGCGTGTCGAAGCAAGTTAGCGTGGAACTGCGATTCCGACAAAAGCTGTCCAAATGGGGCCTCCTGGTGCTCATATGGACTCTTTCTCGCCGGGCGCCAGCACTTTCTGCGAAATTGACTTTGCTGGCGGCATCTCGGGTGGTCGCCGCGATCTTTCGCACCCAGTGGAACGGCTGCTGCACTGCCCGCAGATTTCAGCAGGGGGGCGCTTGTTGCCTAGATTACTCTCTAGAAGCACGAGATTGCATCGAACAATATGCTGTGTGCCCTTTGGTCCAGAGCCTGAAGGTCAAATTTCTCGGCCTACGGGATACTTGCCGTGACAGTTTTCTGCGCCTAGGAAACACCAGTGACGCATAATTAAGCCTGTCAGCATTGGCAAAATATGAGACGCTCCGTGCTACGCAGCATGTTCGTGGCAAGCCAGCGCCGAGCGCCCAGCCGTGCACGGATGCTCTCGAGCAATGGTGCGAGACCGGAGAAAGAAGCCAGGGCAAGCTCGCCGCGACGCTTGACGAGAGGTGGGCGCAGAACGTTTGGGGTGGGCTTTCTTTTTGCCTGGCCACGTCTCTCCATTTTTCCCCTCCCTTCCCTTCCCTTCCCTTCCCTTCCCTCTCTTGCTGAAGGGGCCCCAGGACACACAAATAAATACACACAAATAAAAAGATTCCCCATATTTTCCCCATATTTTCTGGGTTATGTCTTCCCCCCCACTTCCCATATGTTCCCATATTTTCTGAAGAATCGAGGATTAATTGTGTCTGTGTGTTTTTTCCTCTCCTGACTTGTCCTTTCCGTTTGACGTTCTGTGCAACATTCCAAGTGGTTGGCTGATGAGCAGGGCCGAGCGGGCCGTTTCCACACTCTTCGGGGCGTCTGATGGGTGAGCTCGTCCTGCCTCAGGCCCTCTGGCTCTGCCGGCGGCTCTCCCACGCCATGGGGAGCAGGGCTGTGGCGGCTGCAGGCCATGCCATTGCCATGTGAGCGAACGTGTGGTAAGATCGCGCGTTCGTGCGGAGAAATAATCATCGGAAGTGGCGACGGTTTAAGAGCTCGTAGCCCCCCATGGGATGGCGAGGTCTACTCCGAATCTGCGTAAGGCGTCATTCCGCTGGACCCTCCAGCAGTCCTCGAAAGTGGCGACAGTTTCAAACTTTGCAGCCCACCAGGGACGGCGAGTTCGCAGCCCACCAGGGACGGCGAAACCAAATCTGAACCTGCGCACGTAAGGCTTCACTGCGCTGGACCCTCCAGCAGTCCTCGGACGTGGCGACGGTTTCACAATCCGCAGCCCACCACGGATGGCAAGTTCGCAGCCCCAAAGGGATGTCGAGGTCAAATCTTAATCTGCGTAAGGCTTCACTGCGCTGGACCCTCCAGCAGTCCTCGAAAGTGGCGACGGTTTCACAGTTCGCAGCCGAGGTCTAATTTGAATTGTCGTAAGACGCTACTCTGCTGGACCCTCCACGTTCTTCGAAAGTGGCGACGGTTTCACAGTTCGCAGCCCCAAAGGCATGGCGAGGTCTAATCTGAATTTGCGTAAGGCGTCGCTCTGCTGGATCCTCCAGTCCTCGAAAGTGGCGACGGTTTCACAGTTCGCAGAGGGCGAGGTCAAATCTGAATCTGCGCAAGGCGTCAATCCGCTGGACCCTCCTGCAGTCCTCGAAAGTGGCGTCAACTTCGCAGTTCGCAGCCCCCCAGCGAAGGCGAGCTGTGAGGCAGACTCGCAGGCAAATAGCACACAGGCAGGAGGCCGGAGAGGAGAGGAGGAGGGCAGAGAGGAGGTCAGCGTGGAGAAGGAAGGCGGGAATGAAGGAGTTGTGACCGCGATACCAGATCCAGAACGACAACCCAACGCAGGAGGGTTGGCAAGAAGTGGTATGGGGTATGGAGAAAAAGTGAGGGGAGAGAGGGAGAGAGAGAGAGAGAGAGAGACACAGAGACAGGGAGAGGGGGAGATCACTAGAAAAGGGGAGAGGGACGCGAGGCGGAGACCATGGAGGCGGGGTTCGGCAGGAGGCGGAGGTCCTCGTCCGGCACATTCACGTGGCACTTGTTCACCAGGCCCACCTGCAGCCCCTTGGCTCGCAGCTGCAGCACGGCGTCGTGCGAGCGATAGAGTGCGTCCCCATAGCTGACCACGTAGCCGCAGGCGGGCCCTGCCTTGGTGGCGGGTACCGCTGCCAAGACTGCCCAATCCCCCAAGGTTCCAATAGGAACAGGTTTGGAGAAAAGGACGACGAGGGAGAGGAGAAGGAGCAGGATAATCAGGGCAGGTGGAGACTCGCAGGAACAACAAAAGGAGGAGGAGGGGAAGGAGGAGGAGGAGAGGAGGCACAGGAGACGGATGCGAAGGATGAGGAGGTCTAGGAGAGGCGGAACAATCTGAGGATAACGATAATGATGACGTTGAGAAGGAGGACGAGAGCGAGGGCGGAAATTTCAAGAAGGCCCATAAATAGATGCGAGGAATGATGATGGGGAAACAAAAACGACGACGACGACGACCACCACCACCACCACGAATACGACGTGGGTCATTATTGCGGATCCCTGCGAGGATCACGGTACGTTCATCCCAACGGATGGATCCGGGTGGATGACTGCCATGGAAGACTCTGGCTTTCATAGTTCGGATAGGTGGCTCCGTCGCGCTAAGAACCAGCGGTTTCCCAGGCGAGGGAAAGGCTTTGCAATCCTACGCTGTCCCTGGGCGCGCGACTGAAGTGCGGTCCCGCCGTTCAGATTCATGCGTTAGCTCCTGGCCCCACCCGCCACGCACCTGCGCCCAACCCGAGACCCACACGCGAACCATCCACGACTCACCCGTATTGCTTCGGCGAGAAACAAGCGCTTGCGGATGGCTCGGTGGGTAGTGTATGTGTGTGCAGTAGGGTGCTTCTTGGCATGGGTCTCCACTGCATGTGCGCGCGCCATTCCTAAAGCAACCCGTCCGTAGGGGCTTTCAGGCACGCGCGAGGTCCTCCAAAGCAAACCTCGGTGGCGTGTGGCCCGGTGGTCTCCCGTGTCAGGTCTCCGTGCATGCACTCCCGCGTGGCCTGCCCGCGTGGTCTCCCGCATGGCCCGTCGAGTGGTCTCCGGCATGGTCTCTCCTGTGGTCTCCCGCGTGCTCTCCCTCCTGGCCTCCAGACTGGTCTCTCGCACGGTCTCCCGCAAGGTCTCCAGCACAGTCTCGCGCATGGCATCCCACAGTGTTTCCTTATGGGTCCCCGTGTTGTCTCTTGCCTGGCATACAATGGTGTCCCATCAGGGCTACTCCAGATTTCGTAATAAAAGGGAGGGGGTCTGGACCCTCCAAGACATGTCATTTCAGACCCCCCCCGTGGGAGAACCCTCCAAAACATCGTCCCCAGACCCCCCCAGGCCCTCCAAGATAGCCTGGAAGAGACCCCCCCCGAAATGAGACCCCCCTCCCTTTATTACGAAATCTGGAGTAGTCTCGCGCATGGCATCCCACAGTGTTTCCTGATGGGTCCCCGTGTTGTCTCTTGCCTGGCATACAATGGTGTCCCATCAGGGCTACTCTCGTTACTGCCCTTCACTCTCTGTGGTACTTTCCATGGTGACCCTGCTTCATTCTGAACATCTGCGTAGGTGAGTATGCCGCCTAAGGTGCAGTGTACCCTGTTTTCTGAAACACCCGTGCGGCAGAATATCCTGAACAGCTTCACACAGATACAATGGGGGCCGCGATGGGGCGTCACGATGGGGGGGAGGACGATGGGGGGGGGGGACTGGGAGAAGGATCGGGCTTAGGGACATAGGGTTAGGGATATGGGGGATAGAAGCCTAGGGATAGGGATGGGGGACGGAACATAGGACAGGCAAAGGGAATTCTAGACGGCACCCTTGGTGCCAAGCTGCGCAGGGAATTGCCACGACACGTAGCATGTGTATATTCAATGTAATAGCAAGGTGGTGTACGCTATATCTGCTGCCAAGTAATGTTGGCGTATGTGGTGCCATGTGCGCGATGCGCATCATGCGTGGTGCTAGCTATGTAGGGAAACGAACTCTATACACCGACGTGTTTTCCGACACTGCGCTGAAGATCGCACGGGAACACAAATCCTGGTGTATACGGGATCCTGGTGTATGCATGTTTCGTTATCCCCCTTGGAAAGCGGGGGAACAAGTATACACCACACCACCCCGACGTCGTCCCCGATCCTCAAACAAGTCCTGGGATTGAAAAACCGCCCGCAACTGGTAATGTACATGTTCCAGTTTCCGACTATGTGGCGCCAGCTATGTGGTGCCAGCTAGGTGGTGCAGCTAGCTACGTGGCGCGCCCCACGCGCGGGGCTCCCCCGAGGCGCCCACGGCCGGGCAACAGGCGAAACCTCGGCATGCCATTCCAAGCGCATGGGGGCGCCCACGAGGCGCCCGCGGGAGCTCACGGGTGGGCACCTGCCGAAAACCTGCAATACCCAATGGCTCAAAATGGGCCCAGGGACACACACACACACAAGCCCCAAGATTCTCCATAGTTTCCCATCTGTTCTGGGCTCCCGTGTTCCCCCCACCTGCACTTCTCATGCTGTCCCATGCTTTCCTCGGAATCGTCGACCAAATGTGCTTGTGTGTGTGTCCCCTCCTGAAATTCCTCCTTAGGGAAGCTCAGCAAGAATCCCAACGTGCAGGCTTCATGTCGGGATAGGTGGCGGGGGGGGGGAGCGCGCCTGCGATGCGCGTCTTCACGCAACCCCTCCCCCCCCGTCTCGCCCCACCACTCGTACCTGGAACTGCGAACAGGTGCCAGGACGCGGAAATCAGCGTCCAGGGTACGAAGGAGCGAATGGCGAGGGCAGGATAATAGAGTGGGTGAGGACGAATTGTGTATAGTTTAGCAGTAACAAGCGAAGGGGACCCCATCTCCCAAGCACATGCCCCCATTACCTTCAGCAACACGTCGTCCTTGCCTTTGTGGAACTCGTAATCGCCACCGAAGAACGGTTTGCCATCGTCCGCGAGGATTTCTGGTACCTTACTGCGCGTGCTGTAGATGAAGCGAAGGCCCTGGTCCCAAAACACGGCCTCGACCACCTTCGGGGACTTATATATGAAAAGACCGAAGCAGCCCGTACTGCCGTCGTCGCTCACCTCCTCCTTCTCGTCCTCCTCCGCCTCCTCCTAATCCTCACCCACTGATTCCTATCACGTCGTACTGGAGTGCCCCAAGGCTCATGCAGCCCTGCAGCCCTGAGGGGGAAAAGAATTCAAAGGTACATGGTTCCGAGGGACCTGGACATCCGCTTTTCCAGCTGCTACTGGGGACGTTCAGCACCTCCTGGGAGCAGCAAAGAGCTCGTGGGAACCTACAAGAGGTCATGGGCGCTTCCAGGAGCTCCAAAAAACTGTTGGGGTCTCTCGGGAGCTCTTCGGCAAGCCTAGGACGACCTCGCGGACCCGCGAAGGTCTCGCGAACCGCCTCATATAGCAACAGGGGATCCTGGATCGGCCCTTGAGAGCTTCAAGACGTCCAAGTGTGGCCCCAAAGCGGCCCAAGGGCCCGACGATACGCTCCAAAAAGGCCCCCAGGACACAACCATCGACAGTGAAAGGGGTTGAGGGGCCCAACCAGCAGCTTCGCCTTAGGCGAAGCCCAGCTCCCGCTCTGTTGTACCGTAGTAGCGATAGTCCCAGTGATACGGGGGCGAGCCATCTCAAGCAGTTCGAGTATCGATGGCAAATGGTTCACCTCGCGCTGAGGTGTAGTCAGATCTGGGCGGCCGCCCGCTTTGAGCCAAACGGCCGCGGATACACGCTCGTTCCCACTCACATGCAACACCCAGCTCACTTTAGAGTCGGGGGGGTGGGGGGGGGGAGGGAGACGAAGCGTGAACCCGCCAGCTCTATACAGCAGTTGCAGCAGCTACTATTTACAAGAGGGCAGCAAAAGGGCGGGGCCGTAAGGACGGTGGAGCCGCGCGCAAGTTGCCTTGCCTGCGCTAAACTGCGCATACGAGTACTCCTCAGGCGGCTACAAAACGAGATGTCTGGCCAGCCCGATCGGGAGCATGGCGTTTTAAGTCATGTGTAAAGGACTGCGTGCCTCCCATGACCTGTAGGAGCATTTCTCTGTCGATGCTCCCCTGGGTGTGACCGTCCGCGACCATATCGCGGGTGTCACACCATTGAATACTGCGCACGAGTCCTCGCTCCATCACCTGTCGTATCCAGCTGATGTGTCCAAAAAGGGTACACTCAGCCGGCTTCTGCAAGCCTTTGCTTGACAAGGACTTTTAAAAAAGACTCAGCATCTACGGTCAAAGTGACCTTGATGCTCAGGCCACCCAACTCGAGTATGTCTTTCAACTGAGTGGGAGTTGGCGGCCCTGCGTGGAGCTCGTGCCGTCCTCCAAGTTGTGGGCTGCTGCTACTCTCTGCTGAATAGCTCGAGCGGACCGGCAAGCGGTGAGACTTGCAGTACGCATCGGTCAAATGAACGACGGGCTTGCCGGATGGCGTGCTTCCACGCCGTAGCAGGTTTGCCCCGCGGATACCATAGCCTTTGACTTCGCCATTGGCATCTCCACTCAGGCGTCGGTGACCTGAGTCGCTGCGCAGGTCAACCTCGCCCGTCGGGGGTCATCGCCTGGTGGGCGGCTTTCTTACGGCAGGCCTGCAGTTTCCTGGTACTTGTGTTCGGTCGACGCACTTGTATGTTGGTCGGTTCTTGGACACATTGTAGACAGACAACATGTTCAATCAACCACACCTGGGTGATATATGCATACGCCAATGCGCCTGTAAGGCCGACGAACATGTCTGCAACCATCTTGGATGATGGGGTGTCAGCGTCGGCGCCTGTAAGATGAGGATGTTGTATAGGACGGAGCTGGTTGATGTATTCGTCTTGGTCCAAAGCAGCGCTGCCGTCCTCATCCTTGGTACTTGGTATATCTCACAGCACAAATGATGCATGTGTGCTTGTTGCGTTTACACATACCAAAGGTGCCTTCTACGCACTTCGCGCACTCGTCAACGGTGTCATCTGTGCCGGCCATATTGATGTCGCCAACATGTTTAGCCGTGAGCCGGTTACTGCTCGTCTCGAACTCCTCGTGGTAGGACGTGGGTCTGAGACCGAAGCCTCCTGTGGTCCCTCTGAGCTGTAATGAGAAAGCTCGAGATGCGTCCTTGGTGCCAGTGCCTGGCCTAAGGCACTGCAAGCAGTGCTTCGAGTCGTCGTAGTGTTCGAATCCTGGGACAGTTCGAAGCACCGTAGCCGATCCAGGCGGCAGAGTAAAGCACACCACGCGTTTTTGTTTCACCAGTTGCCCCAGCAAGTTCCTGGTAGGTCAACCCTCTCAGGAAGGCCATGTTAATGTCGAGGGAAGCAATGATCCATTGCTTCTTGCACGCCGCCGTGCTCGCGAGCAATAAATGGCTCGGCCGCCGCGCCGTTCCCGAAAAGGTTTCCGCATCGAAGGCTTCAAGGTCTATGGAGCCTCGAAGCACCGCGCGCAATCTGATGGCAGGCTCCATTTCGCCATTCTCGTGCTTCGCAACCGTCCATTTGTACACACACCTCGAAGTCATGATGTTTGACGCTTAAGATATATCTTGAATTTTGAAACACCTGTTGTCAAACCATGTCTTGAGATCAGCGTGTAGGGCTTTCGATAATTTCTCGGGATTTGCCTGGACGTCATCCTTCGCGAGGAGGTCGCTTTCCTTGACGACTGCGGTTCGCTCTGCAGCGGCGCCAACATATACTCGCATGGCAGGTCACAGCGTCGGCATCTAATATCCGGTGCTGTTGTTCGGACAAGACTACCTTTGAATTTTTTCCGTAAAGCAGATATATACAAATTGTCCATTCCCGTACGAATCCAGTCGTTAACTAAAACTCCCGACCTTGGATCACAGTGGGACATGATGCGTCTCCTCGATGTCGGAGTCGCGCGGGCGTCCCCACGTAGGCAGGTGTCCCCGCTGTGCTTCAGCTGCAGTGATCAGCACACTGTTGTCGAAAATCATGTGTGTGGGCACTGTGAATGGATCCTCTCGTGGAAATGCCTCCAATAATTCCCTTTCATGTTGTAAATCTGTATACAACACTTCCGTAATAAAAGGCGTTTCTTTATGTTCGGCGATGATGGGCGTCAGGGGGGGGGGGGAAAGGGGGGGTATGACGTGACGCCCCCCCCGCCGTGTGGCTCCGGCACCACAGCCACGACCGCGCGCAGGACGCGACGAGCGACGAGCGACGATTGACGACGACGACGCGAACAGCATGTAAGTGGCGATCTGCTCATTGCGTTTGTGTGCACCACAGCGCTCGCGTGCACCACACCGCGCGTGTGCACCACAGCGCCTGCGTACACCGCTACAGCCGTGTGCAACGATCCGCCCGCGTATACCACAATACTTGGGAGCACTACAGCGCCGGTGTACATACACCGCAGCAACCATGTGCAACACAACGCCTGTGTACACCACAGTGCTCGCGTGCACCGCAGCGCCTGTGCACGCCACAGCGCCTGTCTACACCACAGCATCTGCGTGCAACGCAGCGCTGGTGTACACCACAGTGCCTGCGTGCATGGGACAAGTAGAAGGAGCATGTACGTCAGGATCTGATGCGGACAACTAAACGCCACGCCAGGAATGTCCTGATAATCGAATGCGACGTTTTTCCCCCATCCGTCCTCCTCCACCTCCTCCTCCCCCTCCGCGTCCTCCTTCTCCTCCTTCTTACCCCGTGTCGTGCGGCTTGGCGTTACAACGCACGTGCGCATCTCAGCGCGCACCGCAGAATAGTCGATTGAATCGGCCCGCTTGGTTCTCGGACGGCCAGTTTAGCTGGAGCCTCCTGGACGCAAATGGGACTTTGGGGGATGCAGGCGGACTCGGGGGGACTCGTAGATTCCAGCGGCGCTCCTTTGTCCATGAAGATTTGTTTTCCATTGTTTTCTCTGGAATCCACACGCGCTCCATTTAGTCACAAGGATTCCTTCTAAAATTCTATACACAACAATGGTGCTGTGTTGCACACGGCTGATGTGGTGCACACAGGCGCGGTGGCGTACACAGGCACTGCAATGCACGCAGGCATTGTGGTGTACACTGGTGCTGTGTTGCGCAAGGCTGATGTGGTGTACGGATGCGCTGTGGTGTACGCGCGAGCTGCTGTGCCCGCAGGCACGGTGGCACAAACTGACGCTGTGTTGCACGCGGCTGCTGTGGTGTACATCGGCGGTGTGGTGTACAGAGGCGCTATGGTGCACGCGGGCACTGTGATGTACACAAGCGTTGTGTTGTATATCGCCACCAACATGTTCGCGCTAACCGTCCTCCATCATTCCTAACCATTCCCAAACGCCGCCGGCGCGAAACGTGACGTCATCCACCCCCCCCCCCCGGATGATCGCCGTCATCGGCCCGGACTTAAAAGCAGGCTCCAACCGCGTCCGCGCGCACGACGACGATGAGCGACGAGCGACGAACCATGAGCGACGACGACGAACGACGACGACGACGACGACACCTGCGGACCAGACACCTATGCGGATTCCTACGCGGACACCTACGCGGATCCCAATGCGCACGGCGGCAGTGCCCGGAGCGCACTGGGGGAGGAGCGTTACGTCATAGGGGGGGGGGCGGGGGCCATGACGCCCGTCATGCCCCAAGCAATAAAGAAATGGCCTCATATGTGCCTCGAGGTCAGCCTCCGATTCCTCATATATCGTGGGAAGCCGTCCATCCTCCTGTGGTGTTTCGGCTTCTGACGCTTCTCTCGCGGTTCCGTCCGGTGTCGGTGCATCCGCCAATTCCTCAAGCTTTGTCATGTCCTGGTCTATGCCCTCTTGAGGATTGGTGGACTTCAGGCACTGAATGATTCTTGAATGTGCTGGTCCAGTTATATCGTGAATGTTAAGAGCAGTGCCTTCTGCTTCATAGCAGTGAAATTCTGGATTCACATCGTTGTCATAGTGGACCAATGTGCAACTGTCAGCGTAAGCCACTGGAGGTAGCTCGTGGATACTCTTGGCTAACCTAACCGAAACTACGTTCTCTATGCGGAAGAAGTTTCTGATAAGGTATTGCAAAGCCAGGTGTACCCTAGGAGATAGT